AATTATAAGCCTTTTAAAATAGTCTTATTCTGTTTGCTATAATTGATGTCAGTGCTTTCTTAAGAAACACCTTTCCCTCTCAACAACAGACTGATTTTTCATTCCCTCTCCTCGTTTGTCATCGTAAACCTGCCTTCCCTGTGCCACATTTACTTGATAGGTTAAGACTTATAGGGAGCCAGAGATGTGATATCAAACATAAAACACAGCCTGTGCCGAACATGTTTTCAGTGACAATCACATCCTGGATTTCAGTTCTGCTCGTTTTAATGGTATCTTTTGAATTTTTGCTAGCACACATACATCACTGTGGGCAGGTCAAGAAGTGAAGTGCGTTCAGTGTTTGTCATGGTTATTGAGGCCAAACCTCTGGCTTCAACATCACTGCAAAATTTGTGACTGATTACTAAACCTTTAATAAAACTAAACCATGCTCTGATGAATGTCTACAGTTTGTTCTGTTTTTACAATGCTTGACTTGAGTAAGAGCAGCACGGTGATTAGTGCTGTCGCCTCACGGCAGGAAGATTCCAGGTTCGAGCGTGGGTCGACCAGGTGCCTTTCCCTGTGGAATCTGCATGTTCTCCCTGTGCCTGTGTGGGTTCTCTCTGGGTACTCCGGCTTCCTCCCGCAGTCCAAAGACATGTACATTAGGTTAGGTTGACTCTAAATTGCCCCTAGGAGTGTGTGTGTGGTTGTTTGTCTCCATGTCAGCCCTGTGATAGACTGGTGACCTGTCCAGGGTGAACCCAATGTCAGTTGGGATAGACTCCAGCCCCCCTGCAACCATATTCAGGAATAAGCAGTGCAGATAATGGAGGAATTGAGTAATTTCCATTTTTCTGCCTGTTGGGGTTTGCTCCTTGATGAAAGTGTTACATTAACTTAATTCACACACAATCAGAGGTTTCAAAATAATGCATGAGCTTTGACATTACTGATTTACAACCATTTGATCTAATTTGCAAGTGGAAATTTTAAGTAATGGGGTACACATTAAACACCTTAAATGCTGCGACAGTCCAGCTCTATAGACAGACTTGAAATCCAGTCATAATTCAAAGTTTAGTCTCCAAAGATCAGGAACTTGAAAGCCACATGCAATCCCATGTTAAACACGATTTTAAAATAACTGGAACTAACAGTTCTTTTAAACTAACTGGTCAAAATTGTTTTGTCTACAGCATATAACAAAACAGTGGACTTCCCATTACAATTTTCCATGCCAAGTCTTATAATTAAAATGAAGCGGAGAAAAGCCCGGCACATTTGCAAGGCTAGAACTAGTACAGCATTTTTTTTTCATCTCAATGTTGACAAAAAGCAATGTATGCAAATAGTTTAATCTCGAATTTTACACACCAGAACTCTTATAAAGGTAGCAACAAAGGTTTATTTCTGGATTAAACATCTGACTTATTCCATGTTAAATGGTAACAAATCATGTTTATTTTAAGGTTCAGTTCAGTAAGTTTCAGCCTTTGAGGTTCTCTCCATGGCTAGATGTTATCTGGGTCAGTTTGGTGAAGGCTTCAAAGTGCCTGGAGCCCAGGTAGGTGCCGAAGACGGCTTGAAGCAGAAAAACTGGCCTCATTTTTCGGAAGATCGGTCTGGATAGGTCCACCCAATACCGGAGCATGTTGCCCTTCTGCGGCATCGGTGCTGTGTTGTACCTGCTTGCAAGGCCAAGATTCACGGGTAAGGCCAGTAGGGTGGGGTACAAACCACCACTGACCACGCCAATAAGTGCACCCCGTACCATGGCACAGGGACCGCAGTTGAGGTCATCGGACAGGAGGGGGAGGGACACCGCCACATTGTACAGGGCATATGTGGTCAAGAAAGGAAGCACGGCCATCGGTAGGCTGGAGGCGATGGGTGCCTGTGTGACATTCAGGGCTCTGCGGTACAAGCTGTTGGATATCAATCCTACAAAGCCAGCGTTTATCCCCAGGTAGAGGGGTCCATACAAGAATAACTTCCGTTCAATGGCAGGCAGTTTCTCGTATTTGTTTTTCAGTATTTCTGCTTCTGTGAGCGCATTTCCAGAGACGCTCTCCTTCTGGGGATTTCCAGACATCTTCACAACTAATGTTTAAAATGACGATGTCCACTGTTATGTAGCTAAAGGTTTCAGTCAGGCAGGCCAAGGAACGAGGAAAGGGGGCAGCCATGTATTACCCACAATTCCATGCGTCTGTACAGTTTTCTTGCCCTGAGTACAGGCTCTTAGGCATAGTTCAGGGTGTTTACGCCATTGCCAGGCTTGGTTACGGAGGGTTACGAATAGGACAACGGCTTCCCCCAGTTTCTTCATTTATTAAAAACAAACAAACAAAGCACCAAACATGCGTATAACATGAATGAACTTAAATGCCACAATACAGCGGATAACACAGAGAACAATACAATGTAATAGGAAAACTTCAAAGTAAAGGCATAAATGAGAAGAGACAAACATCAAATGATGCATCTAATATCCAACCGTGAGTAGTTTCCTATGTCACATATTCAGGTGTTTTTCCCAGCGCTATGTCAGAGGCTTTCCTCATTATTATTAGCAGACAAGTTCTACACTTAGTATGAGCAGAAAGAACCTAAATATATGCTTAACTAAATTAGTCAAAGATAATACAGTAGGCTATACAAAATATTTTCACCAGGAAAGCTTCCTAAAGAAGTAAGAATGATTAAACTGGTAATAAAAGTTCTGTTTAACAAAATATGATAGAAATGAATATATAAATTTTATTTTACAGGGGAGCTTACTTAGCTGCCATGTGCAGGTGACTTCTGGCAACATTAATCAACCGCTTTTCTTATATGAGACATGCAAAATATGAGTGTATGTAGAAGGTATGTGGTAGTGCATGTGAGTGTGTGTGGTTGTTTGTCTATGTGTCAGCCCTGTGACTGGCGACCTGTCCAGGGTGTACCTGTGGGATAGGCTCCAGCACCCTCGCAACCCTATCCAGGAACAAGCGGGATGGATGGAGGTATGAACTGTATGTTTCTGCATTTAACCATCTGATATTTTCAGGTAAGCACTTTTATTCAGAACCTGAATTCTTCATTTTTAAATATATTCGCAATTATTATACTAGTGCTTAGGAAAGGAATTTAGGCCTCAGTGTTATATTAATGGTGCATGCAGTCTGTAAGGAAAATGCTGCAATTACATGATGACGACTGACTGTACCTGAAAGACTGAACTCGGGACAACAAAATCCCGAGTGGGCGTTGTTAACTGTGCGTTTCGTCATGGAACTTGTTAAAGAATGTTCTACCAGATTCCACGGAAGTTCGCCATCTTGAAGACGACTAGACGACGGCATCTTTCGGCTTCTTTGATCGTCTTTGTTCATACAACAGAAGAATTTTCTATTTCAAGCCTCACAGTTGTCTAGGGAAGGTAAGAACCAACGCCTTTACTCTGTAACTTATTAATTAGAGCATTCAACTTAACGTTAGATCTTCGACGTTTCGCCAACTCAGCAGATGCGCATTGTGCGCATTAGGCTGGTTGGCTGTGGCCAGCTACAATAATATAATTCATTGGATTGTGAGTAGGTAGAGTGGGACACAGGTTTAAATTATATAACGGTTGTAGTCACTGCTTTCAAAATCGTCACATTTAACGTTAAATGCACTAGGATGTCAGTTATGTTACGTTAACAAAGCACAAGTTAGGCTAACATACGCTGTATGGGTGGCAGTCAATGTGGTCAACGCTCATTGGGCCTCTGGATCGAGAACATTTCGACGTCTTTCTGCTTTAACTCTTCATCTCTAGCCAGCTTACTATTTATGATCATACACATGCCCAGATTTTAATTTGGAAATTATTAAATGTAAATGGATAAAGTCTACTAGCTCACGTGAACGAAGTCTGACAGTTAAAGGCCTAAGTTAACACCAAGAGTTGTCTTTGTGGAAACGTCGGCCCTTCGTTGACGTTGGACCCAAGTTCAGCGAATGCATTCACTTGTTTGCCTTTTGTGCGTTAACTGATTTTTTTTTTGTACGTTAATCTTGCGCAGGCAGAGTGGATGATTAATAGGGAGTGTTTTGTCACCATTAGCTGTTGTAGGCATTGTATAATATACAGTCAGATAACGTTACGCAATTATGGTACGAGTTCACCATTTTGACTTTGCGCTGCAATCCTCGTCAGGCGATAACGCGGTGCCGTGTTTTCGTTTTGTGTTGCTAATTATTGTCTCAATAATCATTTGATCTGTAAAGGGTAACATAAGAAAAGTGTATTTAAAAACTTGAAATTTAAGAACCCAAAGTGACCGTTTTCGGATTCTATGGTTTGCCAGTCCCACAGTCCAAATGCAGATATTTGATACACACATATATGTGTGTGTGTGTGTGTGTGTGTGTGTGTGTGTGTGTGTGTGTGTGTGTGTGTGTATAAACACACTGGCTGGGATTGGCTCCAGCCCCCTGTGACCCCATTCGGGACTAAGCGGTTTAGAAAATGGATGGGTGTGTGTGTATACACACACTAGAAAGAAAGGCACATTTTAATATATGGGAGGACAAAGCTAGGGAATACTCCTGTTTTTCATGTGACTGCAAAGATGAATTAATATTGTCATAGTTCCAGTTATCAAAGTTGTATTGAACCACAGTTCAGTTTAGCTACCTCTCAACCAGCTGTGTTTGTGTGTGTGTACCCTTTTATTGTTAAGCCTTTATACTTTTCATCTCTCTCTGGCTGTTGCTGCATCTAAGATATTACATTGACTTTCATAAAATGGTGGAGGGGCCTCTACTGAAATAAACCGATTTGTGACCCTGCATTTGAAGCCATCCGCAATTAGTGATAAATAACAGGTTTTCCTGTATTTTAGGATTCACTGAAATTCAAAGTTACATAATTTTACTTTGTTTTTTCCAGGTCTTTCAGATGCGCCATTCAAAGCGAATGCGCTCCCCATGTGTCTGGCTCGATGAGTACAGTTGGGAAGAGCGAATGGAGTGTCGTAAGCGAAAGAGACAAGGTTCGCACAGCAGCGAAAGAGAAAATAAGTCTAGAAGAATCCACCATCACCACAAGACTTATGAGGGGTGAGTATCTCTCAGCATTTGTTTTGTAAAGTAGCTACTCGCAATTTCAGACCTTTTTAGGGATTTGATTTTACTGTACACATTTTTAGATTGTCACTTAATATGTGCACGTGTGTGTTGTCTTGCTGTATGCTGGATTTGTTTTGTTGTTGTCCTAAAATAACAGGTTGATTTGAAATTTTGTTTACCTAATGAAGTTATGCACTATGTTGTTTTGTACCTCTACCTTTTTGTGGGTACTTGATGCCATGTGGTTAAATTAGATATTTCCAGAGCTACTCTAATTTTAATTCTGTAGGGAGGCAGACTACTCCCTGGAAGTCAACTGACACCATCAGGGCACTACTGGCCTAGGGCATTCTTAGACGTTTTTAGATGCTTACATGCGAACATGGCCTGGTGGCTGAATGCGCTGGGGGTGGTTAGTGTTGGACTAAACCAGTCCTTGCATGTTCTTTTATGTAACATTCTCATCAAATTCAACATTACTGAGCAGAGTGAGTCTTTAAGAGCAAGGCATATATATAAGAGATTGTTGTAAGATTATAAATATAAGGATTAAAAGAAAAAAAGACTTCCTTTGAAGTTTTAGATCTTTGCATTTCATATTGACAGCACTGGTACTATGTAGGTGTTAACTTCTGGCTTACCAAGATCTGCAGCTGTAGGGTCATATTGTATTACATTCCATCAGGTAGTGCTGATAAGCTTTCAGCAACTGTAAATGTCTCGTGCTTTAACCCTGCCAACTGTAATATATTGTTTAGTTTTTTTTTTTTTTTTTTTTTTTTAAACAAAAAGTGTTTTCTGTTGCCATGGAGATGGGTGTGGAAATGTTAAAATTATCCAACTGCATGACATTACAGTGTTTTCTGAACTGTTCCCTGTCACTGAACAGGATGTTTGGGATTTGGTGGCTATAAATCAGTATGTTGCTGAATACAAGTGTAACATAAACTGAGAGCATAGGATGACAAGTAAGAGGAGGACCATTAGTGCTATCATAGCCAATCTTCATTTGAGAGCTTGGTCACAGACAAGCAGCTGAGCCTGACCTGATCTACACTTCCCAGTCCTTGTTTTTAATCTGTATGTCCTTTTCTTGTGTGCAGGCATTATCTTGAGACTCGCAGTTTGAACCAGAGGCTGGACTCTCGTGAAGGACACACCCGGGACCACAGTTTGGACATGACCTGTGAGGAGGACAATCCTGACGGCGCCTGCAAGGACAGAGACCTTGACTGGCACCATTATAGCAAG